CGCTCAGTTTACGGGTATCCAGTTGGTTGGAATGCTGCGCGGTATCGCCTCGGGCATGAAGTATCTCTCAGACATGGGCTACGTTCACAGAGACCTGGCGGCTCGAAACATCCTGGTCAACAGCAACCTGGTGTGTAAAGTGTCAGACTTCGGTTTGTCCCGAGTGCTGGAGGACGACCCCGAGGCCGCGTACACCACCAGGGTAAGGTGTAGCAAAAATACACGTTATAAACTCTGGGGTTTTTTTAATCAATATGTGAAAAAATGTCACTGGAAATTGTGAAATTACTTTTCATTTACTGATGCCCGAAATTAGAATGCAGTGAGAGATGGTTTTATTAAAAGTATGATGTAGGGCAGTGATAATCAACTGGGGGCCCGCGGGCTGAATCCTGCCAAAATAAGCATCAAATAATAATGTTAGAAACAATTTTTTTTTTTTTTTTTTGAGGGACCCAAACCAGGCCCCTCCCCTCATGTTGAAGCCTCTATTTAAAGCCTGATGTGCTTTGGTGAAACAAAAACCCTTTCCCCCAGTTTGGAAAAAAAAAAGTACCAACATTCAACAGACCTAATCTGTACATAAACATTCCTCAGGTTTTTCCCTCCTTATTATATATTTCCTGCTCTTTCACACATAATCAATTGACAAACTCCAAGTCTCTCACCTGGGAAAAAGGAGGAAGACTGAGATGGAATGAAATTGTGTGAATAAAAACCCAACAAACATCCATATCATCAGTATTTTTCCAGGCCACTGCACACAGAGATGACAACATATACTGGAATAGAGAACGAGTTTAAATGAAGGAATCCAGTTCTGCCCTGCAGTCAGAAGCCCCCCCACCCCCCCCCCGCCCCTGCCTCGACTAGCGAATTACCGTGTACAGTATGTGTGGGCAGTGTTTGTGGGTAACATGAGGCAGAACTATGTGGGATCCATATTTGGTTACATAAAGTAAAAACGTTTTTTGTAAAATGGTCAGGTTTCAATCATTGATGCTGGTACAATTCCCATATGTACTGTAGCAGTGTAATCAACATTGGGGTCGTGACCCTATGTGGGGCTGGATGGAATTCAAATGGGGGTCACCTGAAATGTTTAATAGTTGATAAAAAAACCTGCACTAAGGTTTGCATGGTTTCATGTGCACCATATGTTTGTCTAAGCACGTGCACGTGCGCGGTGGAAAGTGTGCACGCGCCGCCTTCAAACACAGTATAATTTGCTGGCTGACATATTTTGTCAAACAAGCAGCTAATGTAATGTTTGCCTTTCTCTCAGAAACACATGATCTAAGAGGTAGAAGCAGAAAAATAAACGCTGCCCTGTAACGGTAACAGTGCTCCCAGCACGCACCGGGCTTTTTACGGAGCAGGTGGTCACCGTAAGGACAGCGCCTCAGTCTGGACCTTGTCTTTTGTAAATCATCTGTGGGTGGTTCTGTGTTCTTATGTGTCATAAATTTCACATTCCCTTCAGTTCCATTCATGTCTGCCTGCGTCTGTGCGTGAGAGAGAGAGGGAGAGAGAGAGAGAGACCAGGCTAGGAATAAGTGACTGATCCAACGGCTTTGTTAGCTTTGGCTGCCACCGCTCTCTCTTTCTCCACTCCATTTTCTTCACTTCTCCAGGAGAAAAACGACAAAGTCCTCAAACGGTGCTCAGGCTGGAAACACTGGACAACTTTTTGACCATTAAACTTTTTTTTTTATTTTATTTGAGGTTCAGTCTTTCTTGGTAAAAACCAAGTTTCCAGAGAGTAATTTTCATAGATTGGATTCCTGTTGGAATATTTATATCTTTCTTATAGAATAGGAATAAGATTCAATAAATGGGACACTAAACTTTTCCATTATGCTCAACAAAATCTTTCATGCCCTTCAGCTGCTCCTGTGGGCAGCGTTCAGACGGTTCCACTCCTGGGCTTTTTATGCAGTGAATAAAAACAATCATTTCTTCAGAAATAATAGGATTTAGATGGGAGGTGGAGCCCCCACCTGGTCAGGCACAGCGCCTGTATGGTAGACCTATAAATGATACATATATACACACACTACACAATCATAGTGGCTTATTACCCATTGTAAGGGCTTTGAGTCCAAAGGTTGTTACTATTGGTATTTAAGCATGTTGCTGAAAGAAATTTTGTAGATATAAAATATAGCAATCAGTAACAACTTGACTTAAAGTCGTGGTATTTGGTCACACATCCAAATACCGCGACTCTTTGACAAAACTCTTCGACAACTATTTGCCCAATATTATTATCTGATGTTTATTTTGGAGTCCATTTACGGTCTGGATTGGGACGTCCGTCCGTCCAGTTGATCATCCTTGTCCTACAATATGGGGGTCTTTGATTTACTGGTCCGCTGCCCTCGCTCGATATCTCGCCCCAAACTCTGACTCAGGATTAAGCAGCAGGAACTGGACCTGAGATGCGATGATGAGAGTCGAGAAGTTTTTGCTAACTGATTGCTAACTCATAAATAGCTTGTTTGAATCTTTTTTTGCTGGTCTTTTTCCCAGGGGGGTAAGATCCCCATTCGGTGGACAGCGCCGGAGGCCATCGCTTACAGGAAGTTTACGTCAGCCAGCGATGCTTGGAGTTATGGCATTGTGCTGTGGGAAGTGATGTCATATGGGGAGCGACCCTACTGGGAGATGTCCAATCAGGATGTGAGTAGTGCCAACCTGCCAAGTACTTCCTTTAGCACCAGTGTCTCGCGGTGCACCTACCCCTGCACCGCTGCTGCCAAGTTGGCACGTTTGACAAGTTTCAGTGGTGGGAACTGTGTGAAAGCAGCAGCAACTCCCGCTGTTTTGGTTTTGATGCTCAGGAGTAATGTAAACAGACAAGGCAGTGTGGTCTCACAGCAGCACAATGACAAGAGTGTTAGCGCTCACTTGGAAAAGGTACATTATGAGTTTCTGACTCGTTTTTAATTGTTTGTTTGTTGCAGTTTTATGAAATGGTTTAAGATTTTGATACGTTTTAAAGAAGAATAAATATGCGGGTTTTAAATATACAAGCGAGGTAAAAGGATTTGATACATGTTGAAACAAACTAATTTTATAAAAAAAAACTAAGTTTTTTCACGGCTTATATCTCAGTTCTAAGGACAGAAATTGAGTTTTATTTAAATGTTATTCAAGTTTTGGGAAAGAAAATTCTAATGAACCTGGATCAGGGCTGAAGGGAAGGTTGTGGAAAATCTTCCTTCATGATCGAGAAGGATTTGAAAAAAAAAAAAAGATCAAGATAAATATGATGCAGCCCGAGATTTGACAATGATAAAAGGTTAAGACCTGTAAAACTGCATTTTTTTTAATTAAAACCAATCCCACTTTGTAATGATAAAATCTGTCTTGAAACTTTTTGACTGAGTTTCCATGTAATTTTGCTTTTTTTTTCCATCTTGTACCACATCCAGGTAATAAAGGCTGTAGACGAGGGATACCGCCTTCCTCCACCCATGGACTGTCCAGCCACTCTGTACCAGCTGATGCTGGACTGTTGGCAGAAGGAGAGGAACAATCGCCCGAGGTTCGAACAGATAGTCAGCATCCTGGACAAACTCATCCGTAACCCTGGAACCCTGAAGATCACTGCCAACACCGCGTCCAGGTAATGAACCTTTAAAGAACTGGAAGGTTTTCCCAAAAAACTCACAGTCAATTTCTTTTTTTAGTTTGGAACCAAAAATTCCAGAAAGTGGAAGTGAAAACAGCTCCCGTTGTGATGTGTTTGGTAAAATTAGGACTTTGTTTGTCACACATTCCTCTGAGCTGTTGAAACAATTCAGTTTTATTTTTATGTTACTTTTGTACTGGTGTTCCAACTCCTGTGCTAGTCCCTCCTGATTGGACAAACACGTGGTCCCCGGGGACCGCAAGGAACCAGAGCATCACATGTAGAGTTGTCAGTTCTGAGCAAGAAGTGGGGGAGGCAGAGATTGGTGCGGGGTGAGGAGGGCGGGGGGCGCGACGAGCCTTCGGCTGAGAGCAGATGACTGTGGTGGTATTATGGAGACGTCAAAGCTCATAACATTGACTAATGATTTCTTAAGAAAGTGAAAATAGGTCCCTTGGAGTTTGCATGTAATTTTCCTGATTGCCTTTTAACACAGAGCGAGCGGCGGCCGACCGACAGAGGCGGCTCGTCTGATTTATTGGTGTGCGTGTATATATATATATATGTGTGTGTGTATGCGTTTGTGTGTGGAGGCGGCAGTTGCACAGCAGGAGCAGCTGCGCTCAGCTCCACACACCTCGTTTGTCTCGGCCTGTCCAGGCTGGTTAATGGAGCACCGCTCCTGCCTAAAGCCCCGACTAAAGCCCAGCACCAGGACGGAGCATCTGGAGAGTCTGAGGGCGGGACCGGGTCAGAGTTTAGTCTCCCTGCATGGGTGAGCAGGAGCCCAGTCCTGGGGCCAAGGTCGGCCATTAGAAGCCAATTATGGTGCCAACGGGAGTCACTGGAGACTGGGGGTGGGGTGGGGCACTTACTTTAGAGGGTGGCTAACTCTTAATGTCAGTTTTAAACTCTAATAGCTGCTTCCTTTATGGTCGTCGTTTAACCATTAAGTGATTATCTCGATTCAGGCAAACACATCCAGCAGGAAATACCTCAGAATACAGTACATTTACATTTACAGTACATAAAGTATTTCAAGGGAAAGTATGCAACACAGTTTGCCTGAAGTTTACATCCATAAATCTCCGTTCTCCACCACAGATGGAGGTGTGAGCACATTTATAACGCTGGGTTTCATGAGTTGAACATGTTGGAACGGTATTTTTGCCCTAAATAAATCCAAACCTCTGACCTTTTTTTTGTGTCTAAAACAAAGTAGCTATTAAATATAGAATTATAAATAAATGTATATTAGATATTTAGAAAAAAAATCCATTAAATATTCAATTCTATTTTTTCCACATTTAATTGATTTCATAGAATTTCAATTTAGCTCAATTTGATTTCAGGAAAAAAAATGCTTTGATTCTGTCAAAATGCTCTGATGTGATTGGATAAGCAGCCATTTCACATGGACAACATGTACTTTGTAAATAATTATTTAAAAGATATATTAACTCTATGATATAGAAGACATCAGGAACGTATTTTACTGTGTTGCTTAACAAAAGGATCCAAAGTGACTTTGTAGAGAGGATTATTGTCCACTCCTCAACCCCAAACAAATCAACAAGTGTTAAAAAAATGAAAACTTAATCACCAGAATATTAGTTTTTCTCTACCATAGAAGAAATCCAAGTCAAACAACAACCAGGGTCGTTCTTTTTGACCCTTTTTGACGATGAATTTCCGACACAACCTTCTCTTAGTCATCGTGGCTTTTGTCTAGAATTGAATTCAAAGTGACACACTTGGATAAATCCAGGTTAATAGCCTCCCCCGGACCACCTCAGTGGTATTGATTCCGACCACATCCTATTCATCATCTGTAGCCGTGGCAACAGAAACCCAGTGGTCAACTATCAAATTTTCAATTAATAAGGTTGACATCGGCCCCGCGTCAGTCCGGCCTCTCCCTGGGTCACCCTGGGAATTGTCCCAGTAACACAGTGAGAGGTGAATTACTCCCCCACTGTCCCACCAACGTGAATCCCTTCCTGCTCTCCTCCTCACCCACCTCCCTCCCTCCCTCCCTCTTCCCCAGAGAGCTCTAAAACCAAAAAAAAAAAACTTCACCACCCTGGTTATTTAGAGG